TTAAATGTCTTTATATTCTTAAATTCTTTTAAATTTCTATTGAGAAACCCAACATCTTAAAATCATTACAAACTGATGTATAAATGTGTCAAAAAAAAGATAATTTACTTTCAAAAATTATGTTCCCATGTACTCAATTATAGCCCATTATATAAGTAAACAATATTGATTCTTTTTTACAGATAAACGTACTAACAATACACTTATTGATATTAAGAAGTAAACAATTTTTATACTATATATTAATACTGTTAATTTAATATATTAATACTATATATAATCTTTTATAATAATAATTTATTAATTATAATTAAATTGAATTTGAATTATTTTAGTAAAACTAAGTATAAATCAGAAATACAACAATACATAGAGATTTTTCTATTAAACAATAAAACTTTTGGAAACCTGATTTTTACGACCTTTATTTTTTTTCTTCCTCTTAAATTTTCGTAGAGTACCACGTTCTTCATCTGGACAACCAATAAAAAGTATTTTGTATAATATACTATAAAGATATTTAATTTCTTTCAGTAAATAACCTGTTATTTTTATCAAATATATTAGTACGTAAAATGTATTATATGTAGCATTAAATATAATCTGGAAAAAATAAAACATGTATAATATAACATATAGTGTGTAACTAATAAAAATGTATATAGAATAAAAAATAAAATATATATAGTTGTAAATTTTTGAACTCAAAAAACTAAGTTTACTAAAATAAAGTAAAGTAAAGTAAAAATTAAGTAAAGGCATTGCATAAAAGCCTCAAAAGACAACTTCAGTTTAGTCGCTGATATAATATTATAAAGGCATTAAGCTAAATTATATAAATAGTGTATCTTATTTGCCAATAAAATATTATAAGTAAAAATTTATTATCTATTATTATTAAGATGAAGTATTATACATTAGAGAATTTTTGATGTAGTGATTTATATATAAGAAGTTTAAACAAGGAAATAAAATGTTCTGAAAAAATTAATATCTTAATATTTTTAAAATAAAAATTTTTGTCATAAATGGGTAACAGTCTAATATTTTAAACAATTGTATATATAAATATCAGATTATTCAGGATACAACTAAAAAATCTTGATCTATTCACATTAAGCACTTTTTTTGTCTAAATTAACACTCGACAATTTTAATAATACACATAAAGTTAAAATATTTTTTGTTGATATCATTTATATGACATTGAATAATGCTCCATTGAGTAAGGTAGAAGTCAGTACTAAGCGATAAATGTTATATGATTCTCGGTAGAAATGACTTTATCAATCTGATAGATGAAGTCTGGAAAAATAATTTTTATGTATTAAAGTTTTATAGAATAATATTTAAAAGTAATGTAATTTTTGCTATAGAATTTATTAAGTATATTTTATATTGACAAACAACAGTCTCGATTTCCGTTTTAATCAGTTTTGTAAAGTATTAATACTCGTATTTGAGTAAAAGTATTTAAAATATTTTTTAAATATATTAATATATAAATATTTTATACAACACAAAGTTTTCAGTAAAGAAACAGGTCAGTTATTACAAAAAATGAGTATAATAGAAACCCGTGTCTCTACTTGCTGAACATAATATTAAATTATTATTTTAATCGTAGCAGATTTGTGTAACATTTTGATTCACTTTAAAAAATTTTAAGTTAAATCATATTTGAATATATCATAAACTATATCAGTTTATAGAAATATAAAGTAATGTTAAAATTATAAACTAAAAATTGTTCATAAAATAAATTCATGAAAAATAAATCATAAAATTTTATACAAATCTACCACATTAAATTATAATTCAAAACATTTTTTTATAAATAAATAATTTCTTTAATATGTAAACAAAAAAGTATAAAATGTCGATCGAGAAACAATTAGATCAATGATTTCGTAAATGTCACAAATACATTTTTAATAGCTTACAGTCTTGTTGCTCTTGACGTTTTTGCAATCATCTATTCAATTACTTTCCGTCTAAAATAAGACCATATCATAAAATATAATACACTAAAGGTTGAGTATATTTGAACTTTAAAAAACCAAACTAACCCGGATGATTTCATAACGCAACACGTTAATATGATTATCAAATATGACTCAGTGTTTAATTCATTGTATCATAATTATTATTTTTTACTTAAATTTAAATACTTACGTTGTATTTTTTATATAATAGAATTCGTAAAATAAGTCACTAGTGGTGATGAAAATAAAATAAGTTATAATAAGCAGTATATAAACTTATTGTCGTCTAATCAAGACCGTAGCAACAACAGTACTTTGTGTCCAAAATGCGTATATTAATTTGACATTATCCTGGCGCTGTAGGAAACGCGGGGTGGGTATGGAAGCTAATCGTCAACATATTATTTTAGTAAACAAAAATATTTTATGATATAATATAAATTCTATTTTCATGTATTGAAAACGGTATATTCCAATGTAATAATTCATTCAATTATTTAGTTATAATTAATAGAGCATCAGAGGACATAATTAACAAACATCAACAAGTTGTATTCAAGTGATGACTACGTTTAGTGATTTCCAAATTATCATATGTAGAGTTTGCATTTGTACTGTAGAAAAATGTTGTTACTTATTAATATTTTTATGTTTTGGACAATTGGCTGGCTTTAAATAAACCAAATTAACTGTTTGTTTAAGCAATATATGTTTTAGTTTAATTGAAAAAAAAACATAATCAGATATCGATAGTAATTTTGTTGACATGAAAATTTATATTATGAAGAACAATAAAAAAGTAAGAAACAAACGCTTCAGCTCATTTAAAAAAATTTGATTATGACGAAATTATCAGAATAGGTACTTCAGGTGCATAATTACTCTCCCGCGTAGTCACTTTCCAATTCTAATCGTTTTGCAATTTTGTAATTCTCGTAATGTAGTTTTTTCCCACCACCTCTTTTTGAAAAAAGATAACATTGTACATTATGGATGTTCTCATCATTACTTTAATACTTTTCTCAAAAAAACATTAAAACTAGCTGAAAAGTTATAAGCTACTAGGTGCAACGTTAAGGCGTGTAGAGATTGGTAAAATTCGCTTTACAATAAAAAATATTGTGTTTTCCAGATAGACTTGAGGGTAACGATCGTATCAATGAGAGTGACGCTTTTTACTGTATGCTGTACCACTCTTATTAATAACATGTTTAAGTTTATTGTGAAAATATCTATAGCACTATTATAACACAAAAATTAATAAAATAAAAAAAAACAAAAGTTGGATTGAGAGAGTTAGAGTTACATTTGTTTTGGAATGTGATTCGAGGGTTATGAAATAACATAAATCTAGACTCTTATTGATTTTTAAAATCTTACCCGATAATTTTCCTGGTTTTTATAATATCTTAAATAATAATATTAATCAATAATTGAAAATAAAAAAACACAAATCAATTTAGTGGACAACTTTAACACGTAAGAACTTCTACAATGATGATCACAACATCCGCGTAACGATATCTAGAGCACTAAATGAACAGGCAAGAAATAAAGGTTTGCTCTGCCTTTTTATAATATTTCTTACCCCAGAAAATGATCATTGTCTAATTCTACAGTATAACTGTTTATTGACAATTATGCATAAAATACAGAAATTATTACAAATGGTTGGAGTTAACAAATCATTTTGACATTTTCTATATAACATCAACATAGTTTTTTACACATAAGATTAGGATTGATACAGCGCATTTAATTATTAAAATTAGAATCAAAAAAAATGACAAAAATAATTTATAGATTTCTTTTTGGAAGGAGCGATTTTTAAAAGTGACTATTAATCAATTTATGATAGATTTGTGTGTATTATAATATAACTAATCAGTGTGTGTTTGTTAAACGTTTCTTTTAAATGTTAATTTAAATTATTTTTGTTCGAAAAGGATTATACCCTTCTAAGAATTTAATGTATAAATAAACCATGTTATGGTAGTGACGAATATACTACGACAGCGCATATACGTTTATACTCATTGTGAACTAAAAAACTAATCGCACGGTATACAGTTCAATATGATTGGCGTGATATGTCAAAAATCAATCCTTAAGGTATAAACCTCGAGTATCTAAAAATATAGTAAGTTGATAGTTAAAAACATCAATGTGATAATTTTCCTTCGCCTTTTATGTAACAACTCACAGTTTAAAAAATTATATGATTAATTATCTCATAAACTAGATGTAATGGAAAAATCTGAAACCACATTTGGAATCAGCGGCGAAATAGCATACGAAATTCACCTAAATATTGTAGACAGCAAAATGGTTGTTATTCTGAGTCATTTAAGTATTCGTATTTTTACATAACTTTGTTATAAATTTAAATAAACGTTAACAAATGTCTTCTAACTAAATTTTCAGTAACCAGGGACTAAAACCGAAAGCTAAACCGCACACAATTCAAACGGTTTTCTAATCATTAAAAAGTTAAAACAAATAAACTACAATTTTAAAATCCTCTTTGGGAATAATTTATTTATTTATAATATGTAACACCCACAAAGGGTTAATGTACAGTAATGAAATACTTAACAATTATTTAAAATAATAGGATACATCTACATCAACACAATTTACTTCTATTTAGTAACATAATTGAAATTAAAATCAAAGCTAATTACATGACATAGACAAGCGGTATAATGAATTAATTATTGATTTAATAATTAGAGTATAAAAATAGAGGTAATCGCATCTCAGTGAGCTTTGACCATTCTAATTAAAATTTATATTATGTCACTTTAACAATTATCTGCTATAATTCTAATTTTATTAATGCTAGGCCCAAATCGATGACTCGTGTTAACGAGATAAAGCATCACAACAAAAACAGTTCTCTTTCTTCATCATGGCCTATGCATTATTGATAAAAAATATGACGTGTAGCTCTATATTGAACGGACCTAATCGTAATAAACGTAAAGTGTTTTACCGTGCACTTATAAATTAACGGACAATATCATTGTGAACTCAGTGGTACAGTTATTAGCGTACACGTTTTTATTCGTTAACTATCGAGAGCGAAAAAAAATATTTAATTTTTTATTTTACTTGGTTTACTAAAAAAACTTACGATAAGCAATAAGAATATTTTTCAAATAAATTTAAATATAATTTCAAATTATCAAAGAAGACTTAATGTATTAAATGAACTAATTATGAACGTAAACCGTAAAATTTCAGTTACCTCAAGTGCTTTAAAAATACACATAGACTTCATTCAATTAATTTTTATTACTCTATTATTAACAGCATCGCTAACAACTGTCACAATGCGCAAGACGCCACTAACAAATATCACAGATTTTTTCTATAAGAACACAAGTTTACCTACTGTAAGTATGCATTAATATTACAATGTAAAATAGTCGTTGAAAAAAAATTACAATTAATTAAAAAAAATAACTTAGTAGCTGATGCAAGAATTAATTTTAAACGACATTTATATATGTTCTTTTTAACTTATAGTTTTTAAATTTAAAAATTATTTTTAAACTAGAAATATATTAAAAATTTAAAGTTTAGTTAGTTAATTATAACAAAGAACTTCGTTAAATATTTTTATAACATATCCGGAAGAAAAAAAATTGAAAATGTTTACTTAATCCCCTTATTTAGCCTGAAATGCTTCGACTTAGTGGTTATGAAGTTGAATGTCATTCAATTACAACAGCTGATGGATATGTATTAGAAGTTCACCGTATACCTAAAAGTAAATCAGGCAAATTAGCATTTAAAAATCATCCTGTTTATCTTCATCACGGAGTATTGACAAGTTCAGCAGATTGGATCATTGCTGGAGCTGACAATTCTATTGGTATTATTTTGTTGAATAAGTTCTCGTTTAATTCAAAGATCTATGTTATACTTAATAACTAAAATCTATTTAAAACTCTTATAGTAGTAATATTTATTATTGTAAAAATATATATTTTCTTTTAGCGACTCAACTTGCTGATCAAGGTTACGATGTATGGCTTGGTAATTCTAGAGGAAATACATACAGCAGAAAACATGTATCCTTAAACCCAAAAAGTAAAGAATATTGGAATTTCGGGTAAATAATTATGTGGTAGTTCTCGAATTTCTAGCTTTAAGAATAAAAGATCATATTTTTTTTACCTTCTGATATTTTTAAATAGACATCTAAGCACAATTCAATAAGAAATTTCGTAATGTTAGTTAATTATTTGCTACTTATTTCTAAATAAGTTCAAAACAAACATGAAAGTTTTCTTTTTTTTATCTCGTAGTTCTGTTTCTCCGTCGATTAACTTTTCACTTATATTTTTTGTATACAGATCGTTACACAGGTAGCCCATTAGAGGTATATGTATAGAATAGTAAAAATTAAAAAAGTTGACTATCCCTTTCTTTTGAATTACATTAAAACATTTGTATTAGGTTTATGTAAGATGATTTAACTGGACTCCACATAGCCAAATCGGTCGTATTAATGGTTTGGTATACAAGTTATTTTATTTTTGATGATATAACAAGAAGGGTAAAAAGTTATAGTCTGAAATTTAAATGTTTAGTTTTTCTATGACTTTATTTTTTTATGAATGCATTCATAATATTTACACAAATGTTTTATTTACTCTTACTATTTTTCTACTCTCCTTTACTATATCAGAAAATGTAGAGTATGAATATACATATATATCAAGCACATACTGCTTTGTATCAAAATATTTTTGTAATAATGATCTTTTGGAAAAAAAAATACAGTCTTGAAGAAATCGGCATTTTTGACTTACCTGCTGTTATTGATTATATTTTGTCAACGAGTGGAAAAGAAAAAATACATTATTTAGGATTTTCCATGGGTACAACATTATTTTACATTATGGCATCAGAAAGACCAGAATATCAGTTAAAAATAAGATCTCAAATCAGCTTAGCACCTGTTGCTTATCTGTCGAACATTAAGTCTACATTAAAATATATAGCTCCACATGCCCGTGAACTTAAAGTGAGCATACTTAGATACATTAAAAAATATTTGTAATTACAATTATAATGAATTTAGCTTTAAAAAAATATTAATGTGTAAAAGTTTATTTAGTAACTAAAAGTCTTTCACGCTTATGGTAACGTATCATATTAATTTATTCTTTCAGTTTTTAGCAAAATTTATATCGAATGGAGCGTTTATGCCCGAGACAGATACATGGAAATTTTTGGCTGGTACAATGTGCAGAGAACCCTTTTTGCAAAAAAAAATTTGTGCGAAAATTTTAATTTTTTCAGTTTGTGGAACAGACCTTCACCAGTTTAACATGGTAACAACAAATGACATTTTTAATTTTATAAATTTTACTCTCAGAATTTCTCCAAAAAAAAAACTCTTATGATTATTACATTTTTATTATACATATTTCTTACAAGTTTTACTTGATATTTATTTTAATTAACTACAGTAATTTACTGAATTACAAAAAAAATTGTCAGACTTTCTAACCTCCATCCTTATTTGCTACTTACCAGAAATACTAATAATGGATATGATCTACTTAATATAAAATAATCATATTTTTTAACATTTATTTGCGCTATAATTATATATTCAAGGACAATATTTTTTAATATTTGAGAATAGCTCACAAGAAACTAGTAATCGTTATTTTTTTCGATTTGCGTTACTCCATGTCTTTTACTAGCACTCATAATAATTTATTTTAATTTATAGAGTTTAATTCCATTGATCTTTGGACATTCGCCTGCTGGAACGTCAATAAAACTTATGGAACACTATGCTCAAATAATAATGAGCGGTAAATATTAACAAGTATTTTTGATTACATTCTTTCAAAATCTCATATTGTGAGAAGTATCTTATAAATCTACTATAATCGGTTGTTAGATTTCATCGTCAATAGTGCTTATTAGATTGAAGTTAATTAACTACACATACTTAAATTTAATGTGTTAATTTGTAGTACTCCAGATAATATTGTCATAATATACGCAGTATATCATTAATGTCATAATGTATTATTTAAGACGCCAATTAATCAATCACACAAAGTTAAACCAATAAAAATAAGATATATGTATACTTTTTAAATGTTTAAATATACTAATGAAATTTCGTAGAAAAAAGCATATATTAATTATATAAAACAAACAGGAAATAATAAACAATATGCAATGTAGATCATTATTGATAACACCTGTAATAAATTACGATTAATAAAGAAATAATGATAACGTCGGGGATCACTTCTTGTCTTTGAAATACCATCCAAATAAATATATAAACCCCAAAATAATGAGCATTCTGGCTTAGATGTCACTCTGATGGTGGTCAGAATGCTCTCTCTTGCTCAGATGCGGTCAGTTATTCATAGAGTCATTCACCACGCTCGATCAGTCCACATTTTCATAACGAAATACATGCGAGAAGTGATCCGCCGTCTTTACAATTATATTCATAAAAGAACACAATATCTATTCATTTCAGCGTGTCATTAGAAATATCAAGGTGGGAAACTAATAATTTCACCAAAAATATAGAAGGCTTAGAATGAAATTTTATGAGTACATAGATTAAGTAAGAATACTTAATCTATGAATCAAGTGATCATCGATAATAATAAATATACCAAGTAAATTTAATAAATCGATAATGTTTGTACAGAGTTACTTGACAGAGTTATATCTTTCATAGGTGTCTATTTCAGGAGTTAGGTTGGAGGTTCGTATGTTTAGCCACCATACCACTCTGGGTAGGCACACGAGGTGACTAAATCTCACCTGTCATCGATAACCGTCAAAACTCGTGGCATTATTGATATTAATGAATTGACAATTAATCACAATAAATCTCATTTTAATAGAATAAAGATCACTTTATTTTTTTATCATCTTCTATCTTTCTTACAGACTCTCCTATTCATACCCCGAGTAATATTATTATTAATACAACAAGAGTAGTGGCTCAATCAAGCACCCAACCTCGTCATATTTATTTATTTAATTCTCCCCTTTTGAGAAACTACAAAGTTCTTTTTAAGCTATTACAAGAGCGAGTTCTTTTTGAGGAGTCACTTCAATATTTTAACATTCTCAAAATGTTATGAAAGTATTTAATTCTAAATGAAAACATTGAATAATATTTACAGATTGTTTTTAAATGTTCTAAAATATTGTAGTAACGTTACAATTATTTGGCCACAATTCTTCCTTTCTAAGATTAATAGTGTCATATATGACTGAAATTTTATAAATTTAATATGGTTATAATATTATCTGAATGATCGAATATTAATATTGAGAATTAAATGTTATAGTATTATAATTTTTATTTTATTTTATGTAATGTTATTTGGCTTAAATAAAGATTAATATAATAACTATTATGTGCTGCACACAATTTTCTAAAAATATTTTGTTCATCGTTTTGAATTTTTATTGATTTATTTCATTGATCAATTATTTTAAAATAATTCTACCTTATATTTTCCTAAATATTATAATTTTAAAATTATTATATGACCATTTTAATAACATTATAACAGTGTTAATTTTATAAGATTTTAGTATAATTATATTTTCTTATTAGGAGAATATTAATATTTCAGAATTATTATCTGGCACATTAATATACTGACACTGTCATAGCAAATTATGTTCCTAATATAATGTAATTAAATTAACTACTATCGAAATTTCTATTCTTTAAACTTTTATTATTAAATTAAACTGAAGTCTACATTACTAATATAATTTTGATATAATCTAAAAGAATTTTATTTCTTTTATATTATTATTCAATTATTTTACAAAATAATATAAAACATAAATATAATAATATAAATATAAAATAAAAAAAACTGTTTAAGAGATAGAGTATATATTAATTTAACAACTGATTATCTAAAATATTTTACACATTAAACAGACATTTTTTCAGGAGGGATGATTATTATAATTTTCATGAATATTTAATGAAGTTTTGTTCTTGCTGGTCAAAACATTTTTTCTCTACATCACTATTTTTATAATTTTATTGAGCAAAAAAAAAATTTATTTGACAATTTTTTTGTCTATATAATTAATAAAATGTCTTGCATAACTAAAAAATTCAAATATCGTTTATCTTTAATTTTATTAATGTTTTCTGTAGAAGGTTTCCGAAAATTTGATTATGGTCCTACTCAAAATATGAAAGTCTACAATTGTACAACCCCTCCTTCTTACAAGTTGGAGTCAATAAAAGTTCCTATGTCAATAATGTACGGAGAAAACGATATACTAGCTGATCCAGCAGTAAGTTGAATAATGTTTCTTTACTATTTACTATTCATTGAGTAATTCCCCTTAACATATATTAATAATATTTTTTATATTTAGTACGCATAAAGTTATGACGTATTCGATTAAAGTTATTAGTAACCAAATAGTTTCTTATCATTAACTGTTTAAAAAATTATTATTTATAAATTATTTGATTTACAATTGTTACTCATGTTAGTTAATAATGATAAAACTTTACAGTACCAAACAAACTTACGTAATCCAATGGAATAATGGAAAATTTGTTAAACTTTCAATAAATCGTGTATATTTGAAATTTTTTACATTTGTCTATGTTCATTCGTAAATTTTCTATTTTGATAAATCTTACATAAAGGGTCTTACTTTATATCACTATTATTATTATTATTATTATTATTACTACTTTTTTTAGGACGTTTTAAAATTGAAAGAGCGACTTCCAAATATAATTAATTTCATAAAAATTGATAATCCATGGTTTAACCACGTAGATTTTCTATGGAGTAAGGGAGTTAATTTTTATGTAAACGATCGTGTAATAACTCTTTTCAACGAGAGCGATGATCTTTCATGGAACATTAGTACTTATCTAACAAGCAGTCAATCTCCTACCGGTAAAACGAATGACGTAAATACATTATCGTCTTGTGATTTTAGCAAAGAATCAATTGTTAATGACTCAGGCGATTTCAATATTAAAAATCGACCGAGTTTAGACTTCTTAAAAACACATCTTGATGAAATAATTAGCAAGGGTATGCCTCACATTGAAAAAACCTTATCGCAAGCAGAAAACTACGAAAAAGAATTACAAAAGACTTTTATTAGTAATTTGTTGGACTTGGAAAAATCGTATCGCAAGAAATCCAACGAATTACTCAATAATATGGATACCCATGTAACAATGGCCGATAGAGTAGTAAAAGACAATGTCGCTAAGTCATTTAGCGTTATTGATAGAAACGTTAAAATAGTTTCTAAAACACTTAACAATAATATCTTAATGATAGAAAAAACAATAGAAAAAAATATTATTAAAACCGAAAATATTATTAGTGATAGCTTTACAAATGCTAATCACTTCATGCAAAACGAAACAGATAGATTAAGTAGAACTGTGAGAAATGCATTACAAAAAGTATTTCGCTTTATATAATTTATTTTTTCCATAACTTCTACTCAAATAAATATACATTGTATCATAAGTATGAGGAATACATTTTTACTTGTTCTTCATAATCACTTTCTAGTAATAAAAATTTAGATACAAATTATTATATTTACAAAATTATTTATTAAAAATACTATTGCACGAGTATATATGAAGTTCATATTATGAACATATTTATTATTAATATGTGATCTTAAAAACTGTTGTGGACCTGAAAGGACCTATAACAAAAGTGTCTGAGCCAATACAATGGACTTGAAAGTTGGAAGAAGCCTTTTGTTACGCGCAAAAGTCAGCCTCGCGTTTGCTACTCTTTTAGTTGACCCTCATTGGAGTGCACATCTTGGAATTTATACAGTTGCATCTATTCAATTCGTTGTCACATGTTTCCAGCAACTAACTGACAACTAGCGGTAATCAAACAATTTTTTTCAAAGAAAATGCCTATGAAACAAATTACTTGCCCCGCTTATTATAGAGATCGCTGGCTATTTATCGATGTAGTATTTTAAACTTGTACTCAAAACACAACCTTATATTGTTTATACGTACCACTAACCACTTATTTATACCTTCATTCTACACCGAAAAAATATGCCACCTACACAACTCAACCAATTGATAGAAATTTTTTAATTCACCACAGATATACATCACATAAAACAATTTGAGAAACTGCCAGTTCCCGGATTTATCGATTTCCGTTTAATGTGACAGCTTCACATTGATCCCGACATATCCATATTGACATAATGATTCAAATCCACCATCCCCCAGTCCTGTAGGTATTTCTTAACAGAAACTGGCCGTTTAATACCATAGACAGGGATGTATCCACTTAAACGCATTACACTTTGGTGTACATCAATATGTCTCAATTGACAAAGAGATTCAGTTTCAACTATTTTGAAGACTAGCAATACGTAGTACAAAAGTCGCTATTAATAATTGTATTGATTTTAGTAATATATAAAATTAAATCTTTTAAATCTTTTTAAATATATATATATTGCTTTTAACTAGTAATTTAAAAAATTGTAGTTTATAAATAATAATGATTGATACAAATATTGTGAACAAATTCAACTCAAAATCGCCAAACATTTGTCAATATAAAAACATTGAGTATTATAAAATCAATATGCACATATAAATACAAATAAATATAAGTTAATAGATATTGGTTGTTTTAATAAACGTTTCGTTTTATTTCATTACCACTAAAGTAAACATCATTATCAGTGTTAAGAATAGATGACCGAAAATTCATCTAGATTAGATAAAGATAATAGTGGAAAAAGTTACTAGAGAAAGATAAAATAATTTGTCTTTTATCTACAAAAAATGCAGATAAACACCTATTTATCATTTATTAATAATACTTTTAACGATTTTTCACCTTCTCTTTCCCAATGTGTTTTTATTTTATTGTCCACAATATAGAGATAATCTTCATTAAAAATAAAAAAAGGATAAAAAATAATTATTTTTAAAGTAAATTCTTAAAATTCAATGGAAAGCTATAATTATTTGTTTTAGCATATTAGTTAATTATAAATAGATTAAAAAAAATTTCACTGTTCAATAATCAGGTTTGTATTATTACTTTTTGATTTAATTTTAAGTTATAGATGAGAGAAGTGAGCAATGTAGATATCCTATCAGTATGTTATGGTAAAAATAGAGCATCGCTTAATACTACCCATTTTCTAAATTTTAAAATACTAGTGTCTTACAGTAATGCCCACAAAAATGATTATCGACTAGTTAAGTTTTATTTAAACAATTCTTCATTTATTATTAAAAAATAATAGAAAGAACCTATTAAACATACAAACGTTACAACTAAAATTTAACCTTAAAAATATTTGTTTTCTTACAATAAACATGTTTTAAATGTTATATACAACTTATACTATTTATAAAAATAAATCAAATTTAAATCTATTAATTTTCTCAATACAATCATTATTATAGAAAAAGTTAAATCCACATTCAGATGATTAAAAGATAGGATATCATAGTTATTTATTTATCAGTTTTTTTATGAATAACAAAAAAAAAAAAATGATCAAAACAATAACAAAACAGATGATAAGATAAAGAAATAACAACAAAAATAATAATAACAAGTAGTAAACAAGACAAGCCGTCAGTACAGCTCCGACTTCGGCCGGCAGTTGTTGCTCCGAAGATAAATTTTGCAGCATATTATTTTTATATAAAAAACATATATCTGAAAGTATTCTTAAAAACTCAAACATCATTTTGCATAAATAAACATATTACTATTTATTTTTATAATGTAGTTTTTTCTTTATTGATATGTTTAAACAACTATAATGGTCATTATTCTAACTTTTTATTTTTGTTATTTATGAATGTTTACATTTATTTTTACAATTATTGCAAATAATTATAAAGTATTTTAGTTTCGATGCGAAACTGTGAAGGAATTAATTTTACTATTATGGGTTTTTTTTTATGTCTGTGGCCTTTTTTTCTCAGCTCTCACCGAACCGATTTCTTTCAACGATACGTCAAAAGATCGTATCTAGTTAAAGATATTGGCCTTAAAAATTAAAAAAATTTTCCTCATTCCCTGTAAATGAGAAAAATCTCCAAAAAAATTACAATTTTTAAAATCAGTAAATTTTGATTTTTTTTTCATTTTTTCTTCTTAAAACTGCTATAACTTTTTCATAATTGAACAAATCTTCTTCTTCTTCCTCCTCACCTTAACCTCAACTACTTGGGGTCGGCCTACTCTTATAAGTTATATAATATTCTTCCCTCTTTCTAAAATAAGTATTAACTACAGCAAGATCATACAATACTGCGAAATCCAGGTTGTTTCTCCAACCTCATTCTTCCCACTAAAACCATACCCTTCATGTACTCTTTCATATTCTCTCCTCTCAATACCTACATGTCCAATCATATCTCCACCTATCACCGAATCTTCCTTGCCAGGTACCCCTTGCATTATTTCATCCATCTCTCCAAAACACTTCCTTGTCTATTTCATCACATCTTACTTGTAACGCATAGGCACTTATTACATTCAGCACTTTTTCCTGAAAAATCAATTTCACTATACTAACTTAACTACTAATTTAACTATAATCCTGTCACTTTTTCTAGCTACTCCTACTACTTTACTTTTCATTTCCTCATCCATTATTACCCCTACACCATTTTGTACAATACTTCCCAAAGTATATTATTTTATAACCCTCACCTATTTCCCTTGATTTCTCTCCTTTCCTCTTAGTTTCCTGCACACAACAAATGTTAACTTTTCTTCTCTTTAATACTTCTACTAATTCTCTACTTCTACCAGTTCATGTTCCATCATTCCAAGTACCTATTCTTACTTTGTATCTATCTATTTTTTCCTCCCTCATACACAAGTTCAACCTAGAGTTAAGTGGTGATGTTCCTACACCGTTGACACTACAAGCGTTGGGTAGACCTGTACACATGACTGGTGAAACAGCTATCGCACAAGTTGTCCGGCTGGTATCAAACACTTTATTTCTTAGGCCTTCTCCGTTTTTAACTACTTTCTGTTGTCCCCACGTACATCCGAGTTGGGACAATCCGCCTAAGTTTTGTTCAGAATTCCTTATACTTTTTTAACAATAATATTTATGCCGACTGTCGACCTGACACAACCTCATTAGTCGCCTCTTACGACTGGCAGAGGGGCCGTGGAAGTATTGTTAGCCCTTATCCACAGGGAAACATAATTAAACAAATCAAAATATTTTTTTTTGCATAGAAAATTTTCGTATTTCCCTTTCATCTGATATACATTTTTTGAAAACCTTACTATTTCTCTGTCCACGGTAATAAGCAACTTTTTCACAAAAGTCAATTTTTTTAAATGTTACGGAAATACAATGTCCTTTAAATGTTACATTAAAGGTTATGTTAGATCAATACAATTTTCTTTATGATAAATACTATTTATATACCTCTTTCATTTGGCATACTTTTTTTTTTTTTTAATAAAACCATTTCTCTTTAGTACTATTAGTTAAA